ATGCTATGGCATCAGAAACTTAGACATATGTCAGAACAAGGAATGAAAGTCCTTGTGGAGCAAAAGCTACTTCTAGGCTTAACAAAGGTATCACTTACTTTGTGTGAGCATTGCATAACAAGTAAGCAGCATCGATTGAAATTCAACACGTCAAATTCTAGAGGTAAAAGTGTTCTAGAATTGGTTCATTCTGACGTATGGCAAGCACCAGTTACATCTCTAGGTGGAGCAAAATACTTTGTCTCATTTATTGATGACTACTCCAGGAGATGTTGGGTGTACCCTATTAAGAAAAAGTCAGATGTGTTTTCAACTTTCAAAAACTTAAAGCGCGGGTGGAACTTGATTCTGTAAATAAGATCAAGTGTTTCAGAACAGATAATGGAGGAGAATACACAAGTGAAGAATTTGATGACTTTTGCAGGAAAGAATACATCAAAAGACAGTTCATAGTGGCGAACACTCCTCAACAAAATGGAGTAGCAGAGCGGATGAACGAAACCTTATTAGAAAGAACAAGAGCAATGCTGAGAGCTGCAGACCTAGAAAAATAATTTTGGGCAGAAGCAGTCAATATCGCCTGTTATTTGTGAATCGAGCTCCATCAACTGCAATAGAGCTGAAGACACCAATGGAGATGTGGACTGGTAAACCAGCTGATTATTCAAACCTCCATGTATTTGGAAGTATTATGTACGTGATGTACAACTCCCAAGAAATCTCAAAGCTGGATCCAAAATCCAGGAAATACAAATTCTTGGAAATGCTGATGGAGTAAAGGGGTATTGCTTGTGGGATCCCACTACCTGCAAAGTGATCATTAGCATAGATGTTATCTTTGTAGAAGATAAACAACAAAGAAAATAAGAAGATGATAGCGCTGAAAAGTCAGAGACTACACAGATACATGTGGACAAGGAGGTTTAACAAAGAGATTCTTCTGAAGCAGAACCAACATATGATGAACAAGAACCAGAGAGTTCTGAAGCTCCAACAACTCGTCAATCAGATAGTGTGAGAAGATGTCCCAATTGGCACTCAGATTATGTTATAGAAGGAAATGTTGCATACTACCTTTTAACAGATGATGGTGAGCCATCAACATACCAGTAGGCAATAAACAACTCAGATGCTTCACTGTGGATGATGGCGATGCAAGAAGAAATTGAAGCCCTTCATAAAAATAATACATGGGACCTTGTGCCACTACCACAAGGAAGGAAGCCAATTGGTAATAAATGAGTCTTCAAAATAAAGCGAAATGGTGACGATCAAGTTGAGAGGTATCGTACAAGACCGGTGGTCAAAGGATATGCTCAAAAAGAAGGTATTGATTTCAATGAAATCTTTTCTCCTGTGGTTCGACTAACAACAGTTCGAGTAGTCTTGGAAATGTGTGCTACGTTGAACTTACATCTAGAGTAGCTAGATGTTAAAACAACTTTTCTTCATAGAAATATTGAAGAAGAGATTTATATGCTACAACCTGAAGGTTTTGAAGAAGAAGAAAAGAAGAACTTGGTTTGCAGGTTGAACAAATCTCTGTACGGTCTAAAGCAGGCGCCGAGGTATTGGTATAAGAGATTTGATTCCTTCATTATGTGCCTTGGATACAACAGACTTAATACAGACCCTTGTGCTTATTTCAAGAGGTTTGGTGATAACGATTTTGTTATATTGTTGTTGTATGTGGATGACATGTTGGTTAGAGTACCCAACAAAGATCATATTGAAGAATTGAATGCACAACTGGCTAGGGAATTTGAAATGAAGGACTTGGGATCAGCAAACAAGATTCTAGGGATGCAAAGTCACCGAGACAGAAGTAATAGGAAAATTTGGCTTTCACAAAATAATTACTTGAAGAAGATCTTGTCACGATTCAACATGCAAGATTGTAAGCCAATTTCTACCCCTCTTCCTATTAACTTCAAATTATCCTCCAATATGAATCCTAGCAGTGAAGAAGAGAGGATGCAGATGTCTCGAGTGACGTATGCATCGGCAGTGGGAAGTTTAATGTTTGCTATGATATGCACAAGACCAGACATTGCACAAGCAGTGGGAGTGGTTAGTCCGTACATGGTGAATCCAGGCAAAGAGCATTGGAATACAGTAAAGAGGATCCAGAGATACATCAAAGGGACCTCAAATATTGCATTATGTTACGGAGGATCGAATTTACTAATCAATGGGTATGTAGATTCTGACTATGCAGGGGATTTGGATAAAAGCAAATCTACTACAGGATATGTGTTCAAAGTTGCTGTTGGAGCTTTAAGATGGGTTTTAAAATTGCAGTCAGTTGTGGTTACATCCACAACAGAAGCAGAATATGTAGCAGCTACATAAGCCAGTAAAGAAGCAATTTGGTTGAAGATGCTATTGGAGAAGCTTGGGCACAATCAATAGTATGCCTCTCTATTTTGTGACAGTCAAAGCGCCTTGCATCTAGCAAGGAATCCAACATTTCATTCAAGGACAAAGCACATACGAGTTCAGTACCATTTTATTCGTGAAAATGTGAAAGAAGTGACGGTCGATATGCAGAAGATCCATACCAAAGATAATATAGCATATTTCATGACGAAAGCGATCAACGCTAATAAATTTACTTGGTGTCGATCCTCTTGTGGCCTGTCAGAGACGTAAACAATATGATGGTACAAGGTAGAAAGAATGGTGTGAAGATATGATTGTTCCAATCAAATCTTCAAGTGGGAGATTGTAGAAAGTCAAAAATAAAATAACATGGGCCGACTAATTTATTCTAGAGGGCGGCCGGCTTCTTTGATTTAATTCAAAGTTGGCTGTAAAGTTGTTTGAAAAATAAAATGGGAAAATTGCAAAATTTAGTCCCTGCATTTTAGGGAATTTACAAGATTAGTCTTTAAGCTTCAACTATAAATACCCTAACCCATTTAGCTTCAAAAACATCCCAAATCATTCTAGTTTTCTCCCAATACTAGAGAATTTAGAGAGTTTTCTTGAGAGTTGTTTTCTCCTTTTTTTACCAAGAGAGAATTATCATTGTTTTCTCCTAGGTAGATCGAGAAAAATTGTAATTCATATTTTCTCATAGTGAAATTCTTCTACCTTTGCCCGTGGTTTTTACCCTATATTATTTAGGGGGTTTCCACGTAAAATTTGTGTATTCTTTATCTTTATTTTTATTTTCTCAAATTATTAGTTGTGATTTTGCTCTATCCGATAGCCGTATTTCACAACATTTCCACCACTTTAAGAAACCTAAAATAGAATGAAAAAAATAGGATTGGAATCCCACTTTTTATGTTTATTTTAAAGTATACAAATGATCTCTCGATTATAAGACATTATTTTATTAAGTCATCTGACTATTAAAAGTTATAAAATGGTCTCCCAGTTATAGGGTGTTGCTTTTTTGAGTCCCTCAACTATTAAAAGTTATAAAATAATCATCTGACTATTTATATATTTCATACTCGTCGTTTTTTGTTAAAAAATTGATAACAACTGAGTTGGACGTTAACATGTTGGCTAAGATATGATAGTTGTTTGAGATTTTGGGATCAAACTTTATCATATCACAGTCAGCAGATTAACGTACAACTCAGATTGTCGTCAATTTTGTTTTTTAAAATGACGAGTTTGGAACATATGATAGTCGGTAACCATTTTATAACTTTTAATAGTCAAAGGAAAAAACAAAACAATGCCTATAGTTATGGTCGTAACTCTTAATAATCGAATGACTAAACAAAATAGTTCCCTATAAACAGAGGACTATTTGTGTGTTTTACCCTTTATTTTATTTGAGATTCTTATGGACGTCGGTATAATCTTGTAGTTATCATTTGATTAGTTTAATGATGTCGATGATAAGACAAATGTAATTAGTGGTTTGGATGGGGCCGACAATGGAATCTATGCGTTAGATGGGTGAAAAGAACATGCCATAAAGTGCGAGCGGCAGACCAATTGTGTCTCGCCACGTGTCAAAAAGCTTGTGGTCCTGAATTGCTGACCACAAATTAATTCTGGTTTAGAAGACGTGAGGTTAATTATGATGTTTGGTAAAAAGATTAGGACTACAACCAAAATAGTTTTTATATTTAAAAAAATTAAAATCAAATTAAGGATTTGTTAGAATCGAATCGATTTAAATATATTTTTCTTTAGATAAATGCAATTTTATTTATCCAGAAGTAGCAAACAGCTACAAATAAACAACACGTGACCAAAACAATTAACACAAAACAAGAGCAAAATTCCCACACCAGAACCTATACGGGTAAACCACACAAACCCAACAAAACAATTCATCCAAGTCCCATTCAATGCACAAATACCTATTAACAGAATTCATCTTGTGAATATTCTTTCCAAGCAGACTCTACCGAACAGCCTCTTTAACCCGAGTAATCAGAGTCTGCTCCTGCATATGCTTCCCCTGAAAAATCCTCACATTCATCTCTTTCCAAATCAAATAAACAGCAGAATTCCAAGCAAGTATAAGAACAACGATAAGGAAAGACCTCCCCCTATGCATGGTAGTAGCAATTCAATTATGTATTCCAGTTCAGAACCCTCCTATGCATGTTGCAAGCCTTCAAGACCCCATACCAAACATTTTTAGAATATGGACAACCAAAAAAACATGGTCCCTAGACTCATGATCATCATTACATAGCGCACATCCCCTCTCAACCTGGATACCAAAAGCACCGAGTCTATCCTTCGTAGGCAATCTATTCAAAATAATCATCTATGATATCACCGAATGGCTAGGAATATGTAAGGTATGCCAAACCAACCTATGCCAAAAAACACTCTCCTTCTTAGTTCTAATCGTATCCCATAACTTAGCAGCCCCAAGATTTAAGTAGAATTTTTTTATATGGATATATATTCTTTTCGAAGTTCAAATAACTTGAAAATAATATATTTATGTTCATATTTGAATATATGAATTTAAAAAGGATGAAAGCAAAACCCTCATGTAGTAATTTCCCCGTAATTCATACAAATGATTGTGATCCTAAATGACAAAAATTGATTCTAGTCATGTACATTGTGTAAATCAGAGAAAAAATGTGTAGTATGTATGATGGTACATAAGCCTTTTCCTGAGTATTATGAAGCTGCACCTCTCTCGTCTCTTTTCCGGGCATGAATCCGGTACTTCCTACACCTGCGATGGAAACACACCCAGAAAATAATAAGCAAGAAAACTACTCAAGAACAAGCAGAACTATGTTACTCGAGTTCCGGTGTTTGCATGTGTGCTACATATGTATTCGGAGGGTCGATTGTACACAAGTGTAGGATACGAATTCCCCGATAAAAAACAACATAGGGGCATGTTATGGAGGTCGTACCATCAAAATAGAGAAAAGGAATGTATATGTTGGGATTTGAATTCTAGGTGTGGAGTGTTTCTCTTTCCATGGTTCATGGTTAATATATACAGATATTCAGTTGTTTGTGCAGCAAGTCATCTTCCCTGTCTCAGTTTTCTATGGAATGGATCTTAAATCAAAAGCCTAATTACCTTCAGTTGGACTGGGGCACCGATCTGGCTGTCGTACAATGTAAATTACATCGGCACCAGACGAGTAGTGGTCCTGATTACGGTACCAAATCCACAAGGCATGAGTCTGGTTTTTCACCTGTAACCCACAAAAACATTACCCATCAGAAACAAATACCTACTTGAAGATGTTTCAGCAAGGTTTCCATTTGATACATGAAACCCTGTTAAAATGTAGTGATACAAACTGAAACTTCAATGATGATGCTCCGATTTTTTAGCCTTTTTTGGGGAAAAATAATTGAACATACAAATATCGGGTACATATCCATACCCGACTCATTCGCGAGTAACAGTATGCGCAAGAGAGGAAGAGAAATAATGTGTGTACCTCAAGAATCCCATAGCCAAAGCTACTTTCTCTATAAGCACTATATCCAGGCTGTTCATTCCAGCAGAAATTACCAGCTGCCGGACCGGATGTAAAATTGAATCCACAAAAGCCACCCATAAATCCATCTGTGATGTTGGAGGAAACCGGACAATTTCCAGGTTCATCAGCATGCTCAAGTGCTAAATTCTTTTCATTGCCACCACTACCAACAGTGATATGAACCGGGCCACACGGATCCAGCGTGTAGTTATATACTCGGTTTGACCTCTCATAGGCATTAACCTAGTTCATTGTCAAGAATATTATATCTCAGTTCATTTATAGCATGAAACAGATCAATCAGGGAAGGAATGTTTTAACTGGCAACTCGAAGAGACTGATTTTAACATCAATGATTTTATCTACACAGTGCGCGCGCACGTGTTATATATATATACTTACTTGTCCATTGAAAACAGTATCAACTCCATGTTTATATAGTAATTCTTCCATTTCCACTCTCATACACTCTGCTTCTCTATAATGTTCCTTGTAGGTACTGTACCAGGGAGGACTCCAAGCAGCTATCAACCATGGTGTCACACTTCGGTTGACATTACTCAGGTCTCGTTCCAGCCATTTATACTGATCGGCTGCAATCGACAGAGCAAGGTACTCTCAGTTCTAGGAAAGTAAACATGATCGGTGGACGGAAAAAAAGAACATATACAAAATGAGAAGGGAAAAATAAAGAAAGAGGTTGATGACTTTACATGATTTATCATAGGGAACATATGCACCAAGCATCACGAAATGTATACCACCAGCATCGAAAGAGTAGTACAATGTCGACCCACTTTCATCGTGTGTGGATGCAAATCGAGAACTATAAGCAGCGAATGTCTGATTATCAGCTTGTTTTTCAATCTCATGTTCCCCTTCTATCACCATTGTCGGAACAGTAGCTGTTAGAATCTGCATAAACCTGCAAAGAAATATCCCGCCTTCAAATTTTTGACTTGACAGGATAGAGTGAAGAAACTAATAGGTAATCAAGCAAGATATGGAAGTCTTACCTTCCCCAGTGGTCCCAACGAGGCTGAAACGTTTCTTGGCGAAGAGTTTGTGGACCTGAGCAATTTTGACAATCAGACAAAGCTCCGTCGGTACGATATAAATCCGCGAAACTTAAATCCCCAACCAATAAAGCAAGATCTGGATGATTGGCTACCATGTGACTAATCGTTGTGCTAGTATTATAAGTAAGACCGAGGCCTCCAACCACCGCTATTCTGCTCGGATAGTCCTCAAGCGGGGAAGGCATGGTTCTAAAATAATGAACATCACTCATTGTTTTATTAGGATCTCCACATTGATATTCATACATAGTATCAGGTTCCAACCCTGCAGAGAGACATGATAATAGTAATGTTGAAACTAACCAAAAAGATTCGAGATTATATTTAAATGCAACTGAATGCACATGCCTCCTTCGTTGTGTCTCAAGAAAAACACATTGAAATAATGGGGTTATGTCCATATTTATATACCACATCAAATTTCTCTGATTTCCCAGTATGATACTGGGAGCATTACACAAACTGCAAAGAATTTGATATTCGATAAACGAAACAGAATAGACTATAGCTGATGAACTTTGTGATTCAAAACAGAACAAAATGGTTGAAAAGAATAAAAAAGTGCATAGTTCTAGTATCAATAAGAATGTATAATGCACATATACCTGTGATAAGAACACGGTGTATAATCCCAGAAGTGTAGTTTTCTAGTCCTCCAATAGGATATTGTTGACTGTAAACAAATGAAGTGCCTACAGCTTGATTATTTCGATCCGATCTGTAGACTCCATATCGAACAACACTGGCTACACTTTGAGGATCCAATAATTCTACATTATCACCAATTTGAAATTCCCCTGAAAATTTATAATAGTTAATAAACAAGAAAATGCCATAAGCAAACCTGGGAAAGACAAAGGGGGCAATCGAATCAAGTTTCTTAAGCTCAGGATACACACATGATTTATTTAGGGGTCAAATTTATAAAATTTAAGCGACGAAAACAGATTATCAATAAAAAATATAAAAAAATTATCTAAAATATATAAAAATTTAAAATTTTCATAAGACGAATGTCCACACCCGTCCCCTCGGTACATCCCTAAAAAGGGTATACAATACAAAACACAAATCTCTCAACAAAACATCAATTGGGACCATAATGACAAGAACATTACATGTTTGTAAAAATTGAAGATTACATATGAAGAATGCATCAACTGAGTAACTACCTGCGATCCATGAAACCCAAACCGAACTGAAGTTTGAAGATAGAGAAAGTGAAATTTGCTCGGGCTGAAACTCAATCGTTGGCCTTATAATAGGGTTCTTGTTAACAGGTAATCTAGTAACTTTACCAACAATGGCGTAATCTACAGGCACAGTCACTGGCTTGAAGGGTCCTTCAAGGGTTGTTGGGAATTGCCCATTAACAACAACAAATATAAAGCTTAGCAGAATCAGAAAACTCGGTACTATCCTGTTTGAAGACTCCATAGCCAAACCCATCACCGGGTTTTCTCTTGCATGGAGAAAGAAGATGACTATCAGAAAATAACAAAGGATACAAAGCAAAAATCAGAGAGAAAGAAACACAGAATAATCTGAAAACACACACACGTATATATAGATGTTTATAAACCAACGGAAACCATGATTCTAATATTTTGACTTGGTTTAAACTTCAAATTGCCAGCAATACTTTGAATGATGGAAGTATAATATATATATATATATATATGTTAGAGTTGTCTTACCAAATTTTTGATCAGCCAAAGAAGGTTGAGACAGAAGTTTAATTCGTGTAAAATTTTATTTCATTTTTTGTAAGCATGCTGGTAAAGAATAAAAATTTCAGTTTGAGTAAATTTCTCTTTATAGAATTGTTTTTATAAACAAGGAAATTATCATTATAAACCCATATTAGGAATTGAGTAAACTTTAAATTATGTTTAAACGTAATCTTTTTTTATTTTTTAATATAGTAACTTTTATTTTCTTTTGTTTATACCTTTTTAAAGATTTTTTTATGTTAAATGTTATTTATTTTATTATCGTTTTACATTTATTATTATTGTACATTTACTATTATATATATATATATATATATATATATATATTATTCAAGACAATATTGTTATAATATTTAATATTAATTATATGTATTAATATCGGTTAATTATACGCGAACATTTGTTTCTCTCTAAATTATGTTTATTCTATATTTTAAAACTAATTAGCATTTTATTGTTAATATTATATAGTGTGCGTGACTTTTTATTTTCTTTTAATGATTCTTAGTAGATAGTTTTGTTTCTAATTCGAATTTTATTCACATGAATTATATTATAAATATTAATTTATTAATTAATGGATATTTTTTATAATTTAATTATATTTCATTATGAAATAAACAAGATATTACTAATATTTTTTGATAAAAAAGATATTACTAATATTTTATTTGAGTAAAAATTTTTAATAGTTAAATGATTACAATGTAGTATTCATTCAGAATCTGTTTTAGTCAGTGACAATGTACACACACCCTGTAAACACATCTCCTCGAACTTCAAACCTTTAAAAAAAACAACATTCTCTTTTTTTATCTAAGTAAAATTAAATCCATTTAATTAAATATGCATGCTTTATTAATTGAATTTTAAATTTAAATTAACATTTAACTTTTTTAGTATTTAACTTTTAAAATTATTTAATTTAAAGTCTCTAGATTTGCATAAACAAAGTACCTTGGTAGTTAAAGACTTAAAAGGATAAGTGTTACCTTTAGAAGTTTTTGAATATAACCTTTACAAAGAATATTTGAGTGGATTGAAAATATTTCTAATAAATACTACTTTATATTCACTTTAAATTAATAAAAAAATATCTTTCGATTTTTCTGAAAATAATTGTCTTACGTTTTATTTCGTTACTACTTTAAGGTCAACCCGTCAATGTTCATAAAAAATATCCATTATCCAATAAATATTGACTTAATTTTTAATACTAAACCCTAAATCATAAACGTTAAACAAAAGATTTCGGCTACATAAGTTCGATACCGATAACAACAATGACCACACAAATATCATCGGTCGCCGTCCGATATCAATATGTTAAAGAGATTTAACAATAAAAATACGATGAGAAAGTCACATAGTTTGCGGCGAACCTAGAAGCCGCCGCCACCTCCCGTTTGATGAAACATGCAACTAATTTCAGCTCCGTCCTCCAGATTTAACTTGAGAAAATAAGATTTTAGACAGTTAGAAACCATGAAATCACCACTTTGGAATTGCATGAATGTTCGTAAAGAAACGGAAGATGCAAAGTCTTGGCGAAAAAACAGTTACAAGGGGATTTAGCTTTGGATATAAGCATGCAGATAGTTTAGGGTGAAAAGTACTAAAACTTGAATTAGTTCAACGTCGAACATGTGATTCACTTCTATGTCATTCGAACTCGAGCGTAAATATCGGATATAGGTATGGTGAAGCAGTATTAGAATTCCTAAAACGTTTAATATCGACTGAAATCATAGGACTGAAGGGTTACCCTGCACATTATATTGTAATTTAGAGAAAGCCGACTTTGACTCTATGTAGCTCCAACTCTTGTTTTTTCCGATACCATTCGTTTTTTCCGACACATGGTATCTGAAAACCCAGAGAAATCTGACTACATCAGTGTCGAACGTATACAAACATAACCGACAGGACCGACACTTACATACAAGTCCGAGAACATAGCTTTGAGCCATCAAAAGGTAAAATTCCAAATGAATATATGATCAACAGTCTCAGTGAACTGCCTTTTCTTGAAAGAATGCTCCATTTATAGCCATTTAACAGATCGGAAGCATGGAAACGAAGAAAAAAGGGTACCTGAGCAGCCGAATATTTCCCTAGAACACGAAGACCTTCATGAAAAAACCGAGCAGTCCGATAGTCGAATTGCTTCCTTCTACAGTAATTATGAAACAATACACTTAACTTGAGCTTGTGCCGAATAGTAAATGTCAAACGAGTCCCATCCTACATAAACACAAATGGTTAAAAGTGTCGCGCATCATGCTAAGGGATGTCCAAAAGTTGCTGAATTGTAATATCAACAAAAGACAACAGTTAGCATATGCTGCAAAAAAGCCGAACGAACAAACAACCAATGCATTTGTGAAGGTATAGCAAGAGAACACACTGTTTTTGCAGTGTACTTTGAATATGATCATGCAAGCTGAGCTATTCGAAAGGTGACGAGAATATCCGATTAGCAGGATCATTGAAAAGATATTGCTATTGTTGCCCCCCTACTCCAAACTCGAAAAGCAAGTTCAATTCTAGCACTAACAGTCTAGCTATTCTACTTAAACCTAAAAGGATCTTTAGAGTACAAAATCTAAATCCATTTACAGCTTATTATCTGATCTGATCCTGGAAAGTTTATCTTTAATAGCTGATGTTTAAATATGCTTTAGCAACAACTCGATGTTTCTTGTGGGATCTTGATGTGATAATTCACTCTTTTTCCCCTGTAGAACATGCCAACAGATATAAATAATTGTAGTGTGCATGTGTGCGTATGTGTGGGCGCGCACCTAATTGAGAATAAATCTCACAAGTGCTTTTAACAACTTGAAAAGCACCAAAGAATCATTCCAATGTTGCTCGGACTTTTCATTTTACTTGAAGTACTCATGTCCGACACTCGTGTCGGACTCATAGATGTAGGGGTATGACCTCCAACTCCAAGGACCCTCCAAATACACCGAAAACCTAGGAAGAATCTAACCATACTAGTGCCAGATACGTAGGCATATCCGGTACTTATACCCGAGTTCAAGTAACCTAGAATCATTATATTCAACTTACTAAAAGACATCAATAACATGAAAATAAGCAAAGTATACCATTTTTGTTTGGACATGCAGAGTGTTGGTTCTTCATAGATGTAAATGATTTTTCTTTCCTTATTTTTTTCATTTTTCCAAAATTTTGACATGCAAACATTACAAACAAACACAGATTTTAACATTATAAACGGTTAATCTAATCACAAATTAGCTCATATAAACCATTTTGAAATGAACAGTCACTGAAACCCCCGCATTTTCATCATACTAAGCCATTAGACACTGATTTTTCATCAACCTTTAGCCAATATGAAACCCATCAGCTTCTGTTTGAATACCAAAAACATTTCAACAAACACTTGGAAGGAAGGAAAATGCAAGATAAAGAAAAGGGTTTCCAGGATCAGATCCAAACACCAAATGTGGTTCGTTTCATCTCTCGAAAACTATTACTCCTACAAGCAAATTCAAACGATTAGATACAAAAACAAAAGGAATCCCATAATTTCTAAAAGAAAATACCACGTAGAAAGGATGAGGAGACAAGGAACAGAGAAAAAAAAAAGAAAAAAGAAGTACCTGACCCCTTATATGAATGCTGATTCTCCTCTCACGTAGTTCGGCACGGTTAACGATTTGACCACTTCCGGTAGCACCAACGCCATTGCTGCCAGTTTGGGACATTTTTGTAAGACACGCAGTTGTTTAGATGAGGAAAAGGAGAGAGAAAACGAAGGTTGGAAGAAGCAAAAACTGTAATGGGAGCTTTGGGTTTCAAATCAAAGAAGAAAACAAAAGGGGGATCATATCTTCTCTGGGAGAAATGACAAAAGATATGGATGCTGCCATGTGCAGTAATGGTTACTATTATCGACAGGCAAAGCTCCAAGTGTAGTAGTTTCAGTTGATGAAGAGTTTTTCCCAGAACAGAGCGAGACTTCCCTGTGAAAGTTTTGGGAACTGCTACACGAATAGCGAGTATGAGGTTAACAAGTCATTTTCGTTTTAGGTCATTTATTTTTCTTAAATCATATATTTAATGTTATATTTTAGTTTTATTTTGGTCACTCACATTAAAAATATAGAATTATTAATATAATATATTTTTTGTTGATGATATGATATTACCTTATTGTGACACATAAACATCACCATTAAACTTTTTAATACCGAGTGATCAAAACGAAACTAAAATATAACGTTATGTATGATTTTGAAAAAAATAATTGAATGATCAAAATAAAACTACAAAAATAGGTGGATGACTAAATAAGTAGTTTAACCATATATTTATGTGTTGTTATTAGGCTTGCTCAAAAGTACTCGACCCGAACTATCCGACTCGTCAACCCTGTGTAAAATTACCATATATTTTATAGGTAAATACTTTATTTTGCGGGTCGGGTATCCAACTCGTTACTTTTAGTAGGTGTAGACACTCATTTTTGTCAGGATCTATAAAAATATTATTAGTATATTATTATTATTATTAATTATATTATTCTTATTAATTATTATTATTACATTTTGCAGGATCTCATCAAAGCCCAATACAATCAAATGAGGCCCATTACAAATCCATAACCCAAATTAAAAATCAAACCCAACAAAAGACCCAAAATCTAACTTAGATCCAGACCCGACCCGAGGACCCAGTAACCTGACTCGAATCGCCCTAGATTCTACCCAAAATAGATTAGGGTTTTTAAACCCTAACCCTAAAGCTACAATCGTCGTCGCCATGCACAGAAGTTGGACAATCCATCATCGGTGCGTGTGATGCACGCACTGACTCTTCAACCCCCAGACCGGCGCGTGAGCCACCACCGACAGCCTCCCGAGCCGCCGTCATCATCAACCTGTCAAACATTGCACCAAATCAACCCCAACAGTAAATAAATCACCCAAGTCAAAAAAACCCCAAATTAAAAAAACCTTAAATCCCAAAAATCTGGAATTTCACCTAAAATAAGGAAAAAATCTTCTCCCTACCTAGCTATCATGATTTTCCATCCAGAAAAGATGAGGTAAAGGAAAGAGAGGGGGATTCGAAAAAATGAGGTGTCGCAACTATCTTTCGGGTGGACCCGCAATTGGGCTTCGACTTAAATAAGTTGGTTAGAGTCGCTACCGATCATTTAAAAAATATTTAGGTTGATCGGACACCATCTTACCTGATCTGCGTTTTACTAGAAATATGTCGGATTCGGGAGTCGGTTACAGTCAAAGAAGGATTAACACCCTTGAACTGCCCTTTCAGTACTATTTAATTTATCGGTTGTCTTAATTGCAAAAATTGATATTTAAATTAAAACTTACAGTCTCAATTTGAATTACTTACCATTGATCGATTTAAACTACCTCTAAAAAGTTGAAAACGTTAGGTTATAAAATAAAAGAAATATCAAATAAAAATTAAATCTAAAAAAACAAATCAAAGAAGGAAATATTAAATTTAAAAATGTTATATAAAAATGTTAAAAGAAAAAAATAAAATAAATGAAGAAAATATTAAATTTTAGAAAAGAAAAATAAAAAATATAAAAAATGTTAAAACAGAAAATAAAAGTAAAACAAAACAAAATAAAAAGTATGAAAATAAAGATAAAACAAAATAAGATAAAAAGGGAAATATAATAAAATAATAAATAATTGTAGTAAAGATAAAAATGAGTTTTTAAAAGTTGTTTTTAAAATAAAAGATAAGAATTAAATAAAAGAAAATAATTAAATAAATAATCTAAAGAGATTGAGATAAAGAGAAACTTACATTGAAAGCAACCTCAAACTTCAATTTTGCCTCAAATTCCTTGGATTATCGAAACAGATCTTTACTTCAAAATTCACGTTGGCTTACAAGGTCAATTCTTCGTTGCTGACTCGGATTATGTTGTTTCAACAATAACTGGTTCCGATCTCAGTTTCCTCTTAGCAAATAATTTTGCTAAGTGTGTTCTCGGAAAGTCGAATATGAATTCTCACGTTTGGGACTGCGCATTCTCTTTAACCTTCGGCTTAAAAGAAAATTAGCTAAGCATGATCAAAGTCATACTTAGCATAATTGTTGAAAACGAAAGTTAAAAGAAAATAAAGAAGTGTGCGAAAAAATAGAGAGAAATCTAGAGAGAAAATGAAGATTTTATTCTCAAATCTGTTGTGTTTTCAGATGTGTCTTCATAGGCTTACCTTGAAAGGGTATTTATAGCCTTCAAATTCCTAAAAACAAGCTAAAGATAAATCCTAAAATAATATCTTTTATCCTAATTAAAATACTTAAAACTATTTAAACTAAAATACCTAAAACAAAGATAAAATAAAATAATATTTAAAATAAAATCCTTATTGAAATATTAACATCTATTTAAACCAAAATACAAAGATAAATTATAATATTAATATATATACTAAATAGCCCCGGACGAAAATGGGTGTCTACAGATGCCCCTCTTTGTCCTTTTTCGTCTAACGAAAAATAGGACAAAGATAAAATGACACAAATTTTCGTTCAGTAGTTGCGGATGACTTCTTCGTCGCGAAGTTGTGTCAGTCTTGAAATGATATCCTTCTTCATGAATTCGGAATTTGAATATGAAGGTGGCTTCTTATTGCCAAATCGTAGTCAACCTTGGTCTTATTCTCAGTTTAAAGACCTTAGTTTGAAAATTCAACCGAAAATTAGTTCCTCGACGCTACCATATGGTTGATAGGCCCTCGAGCTGAATGAAATCTGTTAGGATTTTCGGAAGCTCGAAACGACAACCGGAACGATTTGCAAAGAGGGGTCGGAACGGTTTTGTGTTTAGGGAGTAGGGAGATTGAAAGATAGAAAATTGCACAGCGATTTAGAGTGGTTCGACTTTATCAACCAAAGTCTACATCCACTACCTTAGCTCCTCACCAAGGATTTTCCAACAAATTCACTAATTTGTTCTTTCTTTTGAGGACAAAGAGATAACCTTACAACTCCCTAGTTTTTCCGGGCTAAACTAGAACTTTTCCCTAGCTTTTACATGGGCTAAGCTAGAACATTTCCCCTTTACAAAAGGATAATAAGTGTAAACAAGAAAACCTCTCTAAGGTAGGTGTTTACAAGATTGAGCTCACAAGAACAAAATATTTACAAGAGAAAGATGAAATAAGATTGAAAAACTATTCTCTTGTGTTTGATTGCTTGGATAGTTGTTCTCTTTCTTCTTCAAGTGTCCTCAGCTTGTATTTATAGCTTGGAATGAGTTTGAAGTCGTATATAGCCGTTGGGGATGTTTTGGAGCCGTTTGGGGATGATTTTTATACTCAAAAAGGTTGCCCAGAATAGAGGGAATCGGTACCCCTTCATAGGGAATCGATACCCCTTCATAATATTCAAATATTATGACCGTTGGGCTGTTGAACAGGGGGGGAATCGGTACCCCCTGGGGGGGAATCGGTACCCCCTGGACATTCTGTTTTTCTCGGAGGCAAAAACCTGCAGGGGGAATCTGTACCCCCTGGGGGGGTATCTGTACCCGGGGTATCTGTACCCCCTGGGGGGAATCTATACCCCCTGGGCAATCTTGAAACCCCTTAAAATATTTTTGGCTCAAATCCGAATTTTAATTGATTTTGAATTATTTTTGAAACCTTTTAAAAACTTTGAATAAATTCAATTAAGTCCAAAAACATTTTGTAAATTCAATTCAAGTCCAAAAACCATTTTTGCCTTAAATTGTTATATCGAAACATAGTTCAACAATCTCCCCCTTTTTGATATAACAAAACATTTGAAAAATTGTTTTTGGCAAAACTCCCCCTTAATAAAATGTTTAATGAAAAAGATCCTAGTTGTTGGAAAACATATGAAAATGTTAAGCTCCCCCTTTTTCATTAAGAAATTGAATTTTTTAAACCAAACTTCTCCCCCTTTTTGTTATATTAAAAATAATTCAATCTTTGATGTTCAAAATAACTTTGGAGAGTAAGTAGTAAATTTTACATTTAAAATCATTTGAAAAATCAAAAGCTCCCCCTTAATAAATGCATTCCAATCAAAATTTAGCTTTTAAGAACTTGACACTTAAACAAAATTGAATTTCAACAAAGAATAACAAACAAGTTAGTAGCACATGAAATTCAATTTATCCAAGACTAAAATACTTTATGCAATACCAATTGTTGAAATTTGATATAAATATCAATTGTTAAAATTAAGTGCATTTGCATAAAGTTTTCCAAAAATGTTATGCATAAAAAAAATTGATATCAATTGTTAAAGAGATATCATTTTCATTTAAACCACATGCATAATCATTTAAATTTAGGTCAAAAATTTTAAAATTTGTAAAATTAAATTATTTGAAAAATTGATATCAATTGTTAGAGAGATATCATTTGCATTAAAACCAATTTTGACCAAAATTTTATTATGATGAACTAAAAATTCTTAAAAATTAATATAACTTTAAAATGTTCATCATAATCATCTTTTCAACATACATGAGATTAAAACAATGATGCATAATCATTTAAAACCAAAACTCATGCATGCTTAAAATCAAATGAGCAACCAAATAACCAAAATTAAAAGCATTAAGCTTAGAGGTTACCCATTCCTTTTTCATGTGTGGCTAGAGCATCTTGAATATCATTATTTTCATCACAATTGCTCCCACACACCTACAAGAGACATTCATTTCGATTTTGGTATCCAAATTGCTTTGGATCCTTGGACGTTAGTTTCAATGCCCCTTGTTCCTTTTGGAACCCATACTTGCCTAATTTTAAAACGTTTTCCTTTCTTCAAAGGACAAGTATGTTCCTTATGACCATGATAATGACAATGTGAGCATATTGTCATTATTGAACTAAATGAATTATTTAAAATGATTTCTTTTTCTTTTGTTAAGCATTCAAGCTT